TAAGTCATCGAAATGCTACGAAATAGGTGGTTGTAACGTCTTTGTGTTCACGTAGACATAAACATGTACCATGTTGGAAACGATCTATAAATATCTCGATGTGATAATACGTACCAAACAACACAACTTTAATCACATACACGACTGTTGCATACTTATTGGTTATTATCAACTATTTACACTTTTAGATAATATATTATACATAAATGGTTTGACTTTGAATAGTGTGTAAGTTATGCATAAGCACACTCGTTTCAAGTTTTTCTGTGGAACAAATTGTTACAAGTTAATGGGAAGCATTGATAAGATCCTTCTAGTGCACGTTCCATGAAAAAAACTTCAACCAAAAACACATTTTTCTCCCCCTTGCTTCTTAAATCAAACACAATTGATTTATATATAATTTAATAGATTCGATTTTGCCCATCTTACATTCAATACTTAATAATGAAAATACATGGGAAAAGCTTAAGTTCTCGTTTGTCAGAATGGAACAATCCGAGTGAAGAATGTTTTGCCGAAAAAGACTGCTTACTTTTGTTATCGCCTTTGGAAATATCGATCATGTTAAGCTTCCCGAGAACACACATACACATACACATGTATATAAAATTATGTTTAAGTACAGATGTAAATAAAAAATGAGGAGACAAAGTTAGAAAGGTAGCGTAAAACCATGCAAAGTGTTTAAAGGACTCAACGTAGAGACAAAGAGGTAAGAGATTTTTAAAAACCCTCTTCTTGGGATAAACAACGAAGCATATGCATCAAAAACCTTAATTCTCCTTTTTGCTCGGTTCAATGGCTAGCTAGATTTTCGCTCCGTTATTAAGAGCATCCTCATCCATGAGATGTTGTGGGTTTCACTAAATATAAAATTATTAAAATTTGAGTAAAAAAAAGAAAGAGAGTGTAAAATTTGAGTAAAAGGAAGAAAGAGAGTGTTTTTGGTAATATAAAATTAATAAAATTTGAGTAAAGAAAAGAGATAGTGGGTATTTTTGGAGAGAGTGTATCAATGGGTTGATACTTTTGAGATTATAAAGAATGTGTTTGAATGTGTTTTTAATAATTTTATATTTAAAGAGAGTATAAAATTAATAAAGTTGAGTAAAAAGATGAAAGAGAAGGTATAAAATTGAGTAAAAGGAAGAGAGAGAGTGTGTTTTAATATTTGTTTATTTAATGAAACACACAACATCTCATGGATGAGGATGCCCTAATATATAACAATTTTAAAACAAAATGTACATAAAATCAGTAACCGGTCAAATCTGAGGATGCTATAACTACGAGAGAGAAGACATAAGTTTGGTCTTTTCTCTTTCACTAGGACATTTCTCTGGTTTGGGTCGGTGGATTTCTTCAGAGACAGAAGAGGGGGCCACATAAACACCATAATCTGACCTTCGCTACTCTTTTCTTCTTATCACCCATACATTTGCATGT